TAGGCAAAAGGGGCTTTTTTTTTTTTTAATTTGACTATATTTTACTTTTATCTGCCTCTGCAAATTATTACGTTATGCAGGAGCTGGTCATGACTGCCTAATTAGGGTTGAATTTTGGAATAGGACTGTGAGCCTCATGATAAGCCTGTTCTCCCCATGTAGGGTGGCCTTTCAATATGAAGCATCACTTAGCATTATGCAACTTGATTTTTTTCCGTCTGTAGTTTCTGTTGGTTCCTTTTAATTAATTCTTGATCCAAAGCACTTGGCTCTGAGGACAAGCTTTGCTGTTTGCTGTGCCGGACCTTTGTAGTTGTATGAGGGAGACCACACAGTGCCGTGTTATTTTGGAGCCCATGATTTTTTATATTTTTTGCATTGCCGAGGTGTTTCAAAAGCCCCTGAAGGCTGGTTTATTATTGTAGGGTTGTTGATGATTGCTCCATAGCTGTTATTATTTACTCTTGCCAAAAAGGAAAAAAAGGGAGCGTTGGATGCAGTCATTTTGCCTGGTATCCCAAACCGCCGTCCGTGCCAAGCCACAGCCTGTAATTGCTGAGGAGGAGAGGAGAGGAGCCGAGAGAGACTTCCTGAAGCTGAAGTGAGCTCACAAGCTGCCGGGGAACTCAAGTCCCATTGCTGCTCCCTGGGAAGCCTCCCAGAGGTGGCAGCCACCCATCCAGAGCAGGGCAGGCTGGGGAGATGAAGTGAAACTGGGGGAAAACTAGAGTTTGGAAGTTTCCTTTATTACAGAAAAATTTGCACGGGGAAGGAGGTACATCTGTGAGCGTGTTGGCAAAGCTGGAGAAGAGAAAACCCTCTTTTCCATCAGTGGCAGCTTGGCTGTCACCCGCAGCAGTGGAGGTCGAGCCTTTGGGGCGGGTGAGGATTTTTGGGAGAGAGTCGCGTGTGTCTGAACTGCAGCGAGCGCCCCGCATGCAGGTGACTGTGGACTGGGCTAAAACAGGAACCTTTGCAGCATTGTCAGAATCAACTCGATACGACATTTCATAAGTTACGGGGGAAAAACCGGTGTCACTCCCAGTTTGCCTCCTGTGCCCGGCTGTCACCTGCAGCGCGCCGTCGCTGCGGTTCACGCGAGCGGGTCGGTGAAGCAGAGAGGATCTGGCTGGGGCTGGTGGCGTTGGGTCAGAGGACATGATTCACGCTTTAAGCGCAGCCTTGCCTCGCCCCAGCGCAGCCCAGCTGCTCCTGAGCCCAGGGTTTGAGAGCCAAAGTGGCAAAACCAGCCGTGCTGCATCAGACCAAAGGTCCGTCACGCCGAGTTGTTGCTTGTGGATGGGTGCGAGAGCACGGTGAGCTCCCCGGTGATGCGTTTAAGTCCGTATTTCCGAGTACACTTGAGCTTTTCTTCAACATGAAGCCCGTTAACCTCAAAAATAGTAGTAAAAAAATGTCATTGCCGAGGTAGATTATCGCCGTTGATAGATGGGGAAAGCCTCAAGTGATTGGCCCGGGGTCAGCAGTGGAGCTCAGCTTTTGTGAGTCGTGGTCCAAGCTTCAGATGATCCCCTGGAAGAATGATCCTTGGTGGAGTAGGGGAGAACTTTAGAGGTTAAGACAGAAAGCAGAAGGGTTTCAGCGGTGCAGTGGAATTAATATTTTCAGCAGCTGAGGCTGGAGAGCGGAAGGCCCGTTTGGCTTCCTCTCCTCCTGATAAAATTGTTGCGTTTGTTTTTAGTCTAAACCAGAAGTCATCTGGACTAACCAAACTGTATTTTCTTTTTCTCCTGTCTGGAACATGTATCCTAGCAGAAGGGAGGAAAAATTTCATTAAGGAACAAAGCAGGACTCCTGAGATTCCCAGATGTGGAAGCAGGGACTGTTCGTGCAGTGCACGAAAGGCAGCCCAAATCTTTAGAAATCACGGAGGTTTGCAAGCTTGCTGTTCGCCTTCGAGTTTCAAAGCCTTTAGGATTCACGCTTTCTCCCCCTGCTATTATGATTAGATCTTCCCTGCTTTATTCTTTAAGTGAAAATTGCAATTTTTCTCATGATGGCTTGGCTCCAGGAGGCAGAGCTTTAAAAATAGCCTCTGTTGCCAAACTGGCAGGAGCGTCATGAAACTTTTTAACAAGCTGTTCCAGTTGGGCTTTGGGAGAGCTGGAAAATACCTTTTTGGAGTAGCAGGAAGGTAGGATGGGAAGTTATTTTAAACTTTAGCGAGCAGGGTTTAATACTTTCATTGGTCCTGCTTGGTTTTCAACAAAGATCCCTATATTTCTGTGTGTGATGAGATCACTAGCTCACTGCCATCCCTCACGGTGACCCAGGGCTCAACCAGGCTTCCCAGTGGTGATGGTAATCCTACCGAAAAGTTCTTTCAGACATCCGTGTGCAGCCCCACAACTGAGAGACAACATGATGTAGGAGGTTTTTGCAGCAGGTGCCGCCATGGAGAGCCCCATCCTGTGGGAAGGACCAGGGGAAAGGCGCACAGAGCTGCTCCCAGACATCTCCCAGGGCTTGCCCTGGGTCCAAACTGGCATAGCTGGCGCTGGCTGGGGTCACTGAAATATCCTTCTGCAGCAGCCAGGGCTGCCTGCCCTTAGGAGCAGCCCTGGAGTGCATCAGGATCTGAGAGATGAGAGCTGACGGCCACCGTCGCTGGGTTTCGCTTCTGCTCTGGCGCAAGGGACATTAAATTGACTCTCGGCTGCACCATCTTGGGGCAAGGTATGAAATCTCGGTGCTTCGAGGGTGGCTTCTTCACGTGCCGAAGTGCACAAAGCGGTTATTCCACCCCCTTGGCAGGCTTCGGCACATCCCTTTGGTCTCCCGACGTGCAAAAGGAGGTCCCACATCGGCAGCGCCGGGACGGGCAGGAGACGGTGTGGGCAGAGCAGGATGCCCGGATCCATCCTGGCTCTGCCGCTCGCTCCTTCAGGCAAATGGTTTGAACTGGTTTTGCTGTCCAGGAAGGTACTTGGTGGTGCTGGGACATGGTGTGAGGACACCTGCGGCTGTCAGATATTTGTACGCTCAGCGTAAGGGTGATGCCTCAGCAGGTCCTGCCCCACCACTGGCAAAGAGGAACGTGCTCCCGGACACGGCACAGACGAGAGCAGGGTGAAAAGTCTGGCTTTTTAATGCTTTGGTTTTTTTTATTTGCTCAATTTGTGGCATCATTAACATTCTGCTAGGGCAGAGATGGGTTTTCTTCAAACATCTCAACTTCTCAGCCCTTGGAACTCACAAAACGTGGGAGCTGTAAGGAGCGGGTCAGCAGAACGTGATGTTGCTCAGGAAAGCAGAGAAGGAGCACGGGCAGGTTTCAGTTTTTTCACTTCACTAATTTACAGGAACACAGCCCTTTACAACCTGCTGAAAACCCAATTCAAGACTAATAATGGGAAAGCAGTAAAAACAATTTAACACTGAGAATAAGACTGAAAGATCCGGTTAAGGACGTGGTTTGTTTTCCAGGTGTCGCTCAGTTTGATTGGACAGTTTCCCTGTTTACAGGTAGATGAATTCTTATGTTTGAAAATCTCTGATATCAGGGGCTTTATGTGCTGTGCAGAAAATGTGCATCATTTACGTAAGAGCTGAGGTGATCTGTGTAAGATAGCAGTATTCCTGTCTGGTTTAAGCTTTATTTAATATTTTGGGGGCTTTGTTGTTTTTTTTTTACACACTACGCGGAGCCCAGTTTGAGTTGATCAGAGTTATTTTAAGCAGGTAGCAAAAGGAAGGACTCGATCCCTATGTCTGTGCACAGCAGGATCTTGTTCAGAGACGCGGGGACTGGGAGGCAGTGTTACCTTCCACTTTACAAATTTGAAGTGTGGGGGTTTTTTTTCATTTGATGATGTGCTGCAAATGCAGCGATCCCTTTTCATTGCTCTTTTGCGACTTGCTCCACTTGAGAGTATTTAGTGCCTGGAGGTGCTTGTTAACCCCCATGCAAAGCTTCCCTGAGCCTGCCAGGTTTTAGGAGACTTCTTCAGCCGGTCTGATCTCAGGGCGGTTTCAGGAGCACGATCTCAGGATGCTGAGATCGGGTGTTCGCCTGAGTGAGAAAGGCTCGTCATGTGAAATGATGAGGAAAGCTGCTGTGAAATCAAAATCGATGCTCATTCACAAATCCTGGCCTGGGAAGTTTACAGAAGAATGACAGGACAAGGGGCAGTGGGTACAAGCTGGAACACAGGAGGTTCCACAAAAATATTAGGAAAAACTATTTCAGTGTGAGGGTGATGGAGCCCTGGCCCAGGCTGCCCAGGGAGGATGTGGAGTCTCCTGCTCTAGAGACATTCAAAACCTGCCTGGACGCGTTCCTGTGTGACCTGCTCTGGGTGACCCTGCTCTGGCAGGGGCCTGGACTGGATGATCTTTTGAGGTCCCTTCCAGCTCCTGTGATTCTGTGAAGTCTCAGTGCCACAACTCGCTCAGCCTGGGCTGACGGTCACGTCGGTTCAGGTTCCCGAACCAAGGCAACCTGACCTTCTCATCCATCACCTCTAAAGGGTCCCTTCCTCTCTAGACAGACCCCAACTGGTGCTATTGGGAGGAACTGGGACAAGCAGTGCTTTCCGCTGGGAAATGCAGTTTTCTTTAGGTTGGTCTGGTTTGCATGTGTCCACCTTGGTTCACAACACTTGGCAACAGTCCGGTTACCCTTTTGCGTGATAATTTTATATTTGGGAGTAAACCTGTCAACACCCGAAACCCCTTGGCTTCCAAGAAGAACTTGGCGGCGCGAGGGGAACCGTCTGGGGCTGGTTGTGTCAAAAGGGACTGTCTGGGCTGTGAGCTGTGGTGGACACCATGGGGCATCGCTGGCAAAAGTCAATCTGGTATCTCCCAGACTCGCGTGATGTTGGTAGGGCTAAGACAAAGGTTGGACTCAATGATCTCAAAGGTCTCTTGCAGCCAAAACGATTCGACAATTCTATGAACCCAGACCCAGCCTTCTTTGACTCGTTGGCTTCTTGATGTTTTTGTAAGCCCGTTGCTCTCCCTGCTTCTCCTCACAGCTATGGGTAAACCAAGAAGATGGAGTGGAGGAGGGAACCAGCGATGTGCAGAACGGCCACTTGGATCCAAGCGCCGACTGCCTCTGTCTCGGCAGGACCGTTCAGAACCGAGACCAGATGAGAGCCAACGTCATCAATGAAATCATGAGCACGGAGCGCCACTACATCAAGCACCTCAAGGACATCTGCGAGGTACGCGGGGGGACCTCAGCGGGACTGGGGACGGGCTGTGGAGAGCCGGGGGCTGGGTTTGTCCTTGGGTGATGGGGAAAAAGATGTGACGTGTTTGAGCTCTGTGTCTAATAAGAGGAGCCACATCTGTCAATAGGTATTGATACTTCTGAGAATGTTCAGCTGGATCTGATAATTATCTTTCGTTTGTGGTAACTGAAAGTACGATTTCCTGACCTTTTTTCCATAGCTCTTTGACGAAAAAATGATGAGGTTGAGACCCTTCAAGCAGTCCTCTTAATTAAAACCCAATGCCATCTACTTTTGAAGTTGCGATCGAGGAAATTAGGTTGTAATTAAACCAATCAGTTGCCCATTTCATCTGTGCCTTTCATATGGGGTTATCAATTTCCCCTGGCTCAGGACGGCCCCCATTTGCTTCTTATTACGGTGAGGCTGAGAGCAAAATGTTTTCACCGAGGGAAATGAAGTAGGTTGCGTTTATCCAGCCTAAGGGAAACCAGCAAGCAAATGAACTTTGGTGACCCACGAGTTGATCCTCGACTTGAATCTTCTTCATGGTGTCACAGTTAACCACTGCTACCCCTCCCTGTCCTGCAGCATCCTGTAGAGCATATACTTACCGCTACGAGGCAGAAGTTTGTTAGTGCTAAAATCAAAGTCCGGGGCTCTGAGGCTTGTGCCCAGTCTTTGCAGGGTCAATGTGGTGAAGACCCACATGAGTTCTGCTTGGAAATATGTCCTGCTCCCTCCGTACCTGCTACTTTTCTATTGACAAGGCAAAGCAGCCATCCAAAAAGCATCTGTGACGCTTTTCTAATATGGAGGAGCCTTGGGATTTTGACCCGGAAACAAAGGAGCTTAGTTTCACTGTGCTATTTCAGTCAGAGGGCTTCGCGGGGAAGATGGGAAGAACCTCAGGAACGTCTCCATGTGTTCTTCTCCTGCATTTGCACTCCTCTGTGGAAAAACTAAATAAACCTTAACTTGTCACCATGCTTTGGCCAAATCAGCTTCTCAGGAGGTTCAGACAAGTGTAGCTGCGGTGACGTCTGTGGGGTAGCACTTGATGTACAGCACCTCATGAGATGTCCCAGGTACCAGGGAGATCTCTAAGGCTCTTGCTTTGCTCTCTATAATGCCAAACGGTATTGAGGGGATAAATCTTACCTCCAGGTGGAGCACCAGGAAATGATTCAGCTGCCTCTTGCACAGAAGGAGGAGGGCTGCCCCTTGCAGTCATATAACAAGTGACAGAGGTGTAATTTATGCTGAAGAACGAGTAGACACCAAGCAACCACTGATGAGATGCAGAAGTGCTGCTGGCAGGGGCAAATTCTCCTCTCCCCTCTTGTTTTAAGGCGTTGGGACAAACGGCAGCGATACGACGGATTGGAGGGGATGGAAGAGGAGATTCTGACAAAGTTTCTGATTTAGTACCGAGTTTAGCAGTGTGTAGTTTTACTCTTGTTGCTGAACTGCAACGAATAACAGATCCTGAACCATAATGAATAACAAATCCTAATCCCAGTGAGGCACCTTTGGGTGTGTGGTTGTTATCAGAGGACTGTAGCCCCTGCCAGGTGACCAGGAGCCCTCCAGTTGCTCTTTTCTGCTTCAGGATGAATTTCCACTACTTGCTGCTATGTTATTGTACACCTTGTTATAATTCATAATACCCGCGGCACTAGTCCTGCCAAGCCAGGAGCTCCCAGGCTAGCCAGCACCAGAAGGAAAATTGCCCAGCAAGCCAAGACCTGCCTGAAGCAGCCACCTTGGAGGGGAATTCCCCATCACAGCAAAGCCAGACTGCCCTCACGACTGCTGCTGCTGTGCCCTTGCTTGGAGTACGAAAGGCTGGCAGCGGCTTCGTGGAACAGTTTTGCAACGATTTTTGTTAGGGGCAAAACACGGAGTTTTCCCCTGAACTGCGTTACCGGGAGTGAGCGGATCATTATTTTGAAATACCACCAAGGGGAAAAGAAAGGGAAAAAAAAATAATCTAGCCTTAAGGCAATATCCAGCAACAGGAATTTCAGGCTTAATGGGCAGAGCTAAGAAAAATAATAAGCTACTGAAAACGAGGCGTTTTTTAATGGGCAGCAATAGCCAGCCTTGCTGGCAGGTAGTGCTGCTCGCTTGCTGTCCTGTAAAGCATCGCAAAAATGGCATCTCCACCCTTGGAAAGGCATCCCCCTGCTCCCGGGGTTCGGACCAGCATATGGATTAGGCAGACAAGGCTAAATGGAAGGAGGTGTTAGAGGGAGAAGTGACAGAGCTTGGATGGCAACAGCGAGGCAATTGGGAGATCAAAGGAAACCTCCGTGTTGTGAGTGATTTGGAGGTGGGAGGTTAGAGCGGCCAGCCAGCTTCCAGTGCTGCGCTTTGCTCTTTTCCAAGTCATTTCGCTTTGAATTTCTTTTCTAATAATGTTGACTGGATTACACCTAAGCTTTTGCTTTGGTGCCAGGACAGCTCTGAATGCCGTGTGGGAAACATCCTCATTGCATCTTAGCGTGTCACGCTGGGTCTGTTGTGCGGAGCTGATGGGACAAGGTTTCACGTGGTCTGTATGGCAGTCGCCTGACTCATGCTCGGAGATGGAGAAAAAACCTACTTTTTTGGGCTGCCTCAGAGCGAAGCTGCATAAAACCTTCTTGGCAGTAGTGTGTCCCTCCTTCAGAGAACCACATCTGAGGGGCTGCTGGCCCCTTTCTGTGACCAGTTTGTGTTCTGTGGACGGAGGGCATCTCCGCAGAAAGCCCTTTGGCTCGATGGGGGTATATATACACCACTTAGAGGTATTCCCCAGTGTGCAGTTCGGAGCTGTCTTGCCCAGCTTGCTTGTGCACCCCTTGTTTTCTTTCTGCTTCTGAGCTGGCTGCTTCTTGCCCTTTTGAGGAACCGCCTCGTGTTGCTGCAGGACTTTATTTTCTATTTCATTACTTGCTTGTAGACCTGACTGCAACCAGCCATAGCTCTCGCTTGCTTTTTTCAGTTCATCTCTTGTGCATGTGAGCACAGCGCTCTCCCGGATGCCGTGAGCACTGCTCTGGAGAACAATATTTTTATAGCCCGAATGGTGCTGGTGCAAACCAAGGGATAGTCTGCAGGGCAGCACAGATAGCCCCCAGACTGGGTCAGGGGTGGAAAGAAGCTGGAATATCCTCACAGCTGCCTTTGAAGTGATGGTTGGAAGGGACCTTTAAAGGTCTTCTGGTCCAGCAGGGGCATCTTTAACTGGATCAGATTGCTCAGAGCCCCATCAAGCCTGACCTTGAATGTCTCCAGGGATGGGGCGACCTCTGGGCAAGCTGTGCCGGGGTCACACCACCCTGATAGTAAAGAACTTCTTCCTAATGTCTGATCTAAATCTAGCCAGCTCTAATTGACAACCATTCCCCCTCATCCTATCGCTACACGCCCTTGTAAGCAGTGCCTCCCAGTCTCCTCATTCTCTCCTTCCCCTTGCTGTCAGGAGGATGATGGCTTGGCCATCCATCCTGACTGTCTCTCAACCCACACCGGGGTCGAGAAAACTTAGCACTTAACCTCCTGCAAATACTTTCCAACTTTGGCCTATGCTTCAGGGACTACACGGAAAAGTACTTTAAAGGGAGACAGTTTGACAGCTATTTTTAGGTATTCATTGAGCAAAACGCTCTCCAACATCTGCTCATCAGTCAGCTATCCCTTCTCTGAGCAAACCTGACGGGATGAGCAGACGGAAGTTGACATTGTTTTATGTAACAGAAGTAAATTTACTGGAAAAACTATGCAGCAGCCTTCTAGCTGGCTCTTGCTGCATCTTCTACATAAATCTTCCACCTCCCCTTTGCTGGCTTATGCTGGAAGCCAACCATCCAAACGCACAAGCTGGGTAGAGGGTAAGACTTGGAAGCGCTGCGTGTTCTTTTATTTTCCCGGTGGTTTTCTAGGTGCCTCTGCAGAAATGTGCTGCTTTGAAGCACGTGCCAAAGCGATGAACCCGCCCAGGGAGGACGGGGGAATATTCAAGAGGGTCGTCGCAGCCAATAGCAACCCCGGGGCTGAAAGATGTTCACAGATATCATCCAGGGAGGGGTTTCACAGAGCGAGGGGGAGGCTGGCTTGCAGGCAGCCTGCAGCAGGCAAAGGTCCAAGCGTGCGCGGCTTGTGGCTGTCGTTCCGTGCCGCTCACACTGCAGCCGGTGTCGAAAAGAGCCTGACCAGGCAGGTGCACGTCTTTCGTCTTCTAAATTTTTTTCAAAAGTGTTCTGAGACGAGCATCTAAATGTGAAAAGCAGCTCGGTATTTTGCATTATTCCGTGCTAATTGGAATTTTTCTTTGGCCCACAACGTGGGAACCAACCTGCCCCCGTTCCTCCTGGCCTTTAGAAATGAGAGAGGGAAGCCCGGGGAAATGAGTCATCAAGTAGCTCCTGGAAGAGGAGAGACCCAGATTCAGTAAATGCAGGAGATGTTCCATAACCCAAGCTTCCCAGCTGAGAAAGCCAGCAAGCTCAGGGCAGCAGCGTCCTTCTGGCTAAGCTGTACGGCGCGTTCTTTGCCAGGCGGGCCAAAGTTGCGTTTATCGTTGGTGTGTTTGAAGCTCTTCCCTCCCAGGAACCACATGGCGAGGCTGAAGGACAGTTTATTATAGCGTTGCGAGCGTTCATTGTGGACCAGCAGCTGTGTGTCACCAGCTGGCAGTTCCTCTGTGTGACTAAGCATCTAGAGATCCCAAATATAGCCGCGCCACTGGAGCTGCTGCGTTTGCTTTTGGTTTGGGGGTTTTTTTTGTCCTTTTCCTTTCATTTTTTTCTCTTCCTATATAGTAAAGGCGGGCAAAGTCATCTCACGATGGACCCCCGGGTTATTTCTTCTCGGTCAAGAGGCCTCAGTCCAGGCCAGGCCAGCACAACATCTGATGTTCTGCCTTGCAGAGTTTCTAGTCTGAATCATCCAGGCAGGACGGAGCAATTTGCTCGATGTCACACAGGTTGGTGGCAGAGCTAGAAATTCAGCCCAGCAGCCAGAGCCTGTCACCCCTGGACCACGTGTGCTTGGTTCAGGCAGGTCTGTGTGAAGAAATCCTCATGACCCAGCTGAAACCAGGATGGCAAATGCAGGGATGAGGCAGAAGGAGCCCGGTGCGTTGCGTTTTTTTCCAAAATATTGACCTGCTCTGGCTTTTTAGGTCAGGAGGTCTTCAGAGCAGTGCTTGCCTCCCAATTGACATTGGTGTGATGTCCAGCGACGCTCAGGCTCAGTACCAACGGGGAGGTGACGAATAATCAAGGAGGATGTGTTCATTATCGCACTGGACCAAGAACTGTTTCCAAATCTACTGCACGTGCATTCTGTGATTTTGGAGAATTTCCTTAGACTCGCTACGTCCTAATTCTTCCTCTCTTTCTCTGTTTGACTTTTGATGTCTATAGACTGAGTAAGGGAGACTGATGTCGGTACAGAGAAGGGTACAAAGCCTTTTCCTCTCGTCACAAGTGGATTTTGTCTTCTAAGCCTTTTTCTGCTTCCGTTTTTACTTGCTCCTTCCTCAAGCAAAACGTGGGAGCAGCCTCAGTGTAAGTGTTCGGGTTATTTTATGGATTGTTCTGTCTTACTCCTTACAGGGTTACTTAAAGCAGTGCCGGAAGAGGAGGGACATGTTCAGCGATGAACAGCTAAAGATCATCTTTGGTAACATTGAAGATATCTACAGATTTCAGATGGGTTTTGTCCGGGACTTGGAGAAACAGTACAACAACGAGGACCCCCATCTCAGTGAAATTGGACCCTGTTTCCTTGAACACGTAAGTTCACTTGGCTTTTTTTATTGGAGATTTTTGGAGTTGTTTTGTAGGAGGGTAGAACAGGAGGGGAATAACACAGGAAGTCAGGAGCTGGTGCATTTGAATCCCAACACCTTTTCCCACCCACCCTTACGCAGAGCTCACCCCTAACCAATCTTCCCCAGCCCCACATCTCAACGGCCTTTCAACACCTCCAGGGTTGGGGGCTGCACACCCTCCCTGGGCAGCCGGTGCCAAGCTCTGACCGCTCTTTCTCTGGAAATTTTTCCTCATCACTCTTTCTGTGAAAATTTTTTTCCTAATGTCCAGTCTAACCCTCCCCTGTTGCAGTTTGAAGCCTTTCCCTCTCGCTACTTACCCATGAGAAGAGACCAGCCCCAACCTCTCTACAACGTCCTTTCAGGTGGTTGCAGAGAGCGATGAGGTCTCCCCTCAGCCTCCTCTTCTTCAAACCCAACAGCCCCAGCTCCTTCAGTCGTGTTCTTTTTGCCAAGTCGGACAGTTGAGCGCTTCTCTCATGTGTGTTTCCCCTCTTTTTCTCTTTTTTTTTCCATCTCCCATCCCTTTTCTCCTGCCTCCCGCAGCAAGACGGCTTCTGGATCTATTCAGAGTACTGTAACAACCACTTGGACGCGTGCATGGAGCTCTCCAAGCTGATGAAGGATAGCAGGTACCAGCATTTCTTCGAAGCGTGCCGTCTGTTGCAGCAGATGATTGATATCGCCATCGACGGGTTCCTCCTGACGCCGGTGCAGAAGATCTGCAAATACCCCCTGCAGCTCGCCGAGCTCCTCAAGTACACGGCGCAGGATCACAGGTAACGCCGCTCCCTTGCTACGTGCAAAGGTTTTTCGCTCGCTGCTTCTTTACGTGGCCTCTGCTAAAACACGGGGGTTGGGCTTTGGTTGTTTTTTTTTTTTTTTCCTCTCACCCTCTTCTCTTCACGACCTTTTG